GGACAAAGAGTTTGTCAACCTCAGCCCTCATGCTTGACAAGAGGGTGCAAAAGGGGAGTCACGTACAGGGGTGACACACCCTCGGGGAGGACTGGGGAGACCAACGCAGCTGCTGGGAGCTTCACTCCATGTAGAAGCTCGCAACACCAACAGTTTCTGTTTTGGAACAATTATTTAATCAAAGACAAAACCAACACAATTTTCATTCCACAAAATAAGTTAATAAAAATTGCAGTTTCAATGACAATTAGGCAACCCTATACTTGTTGTATTCATAACATCTTTCCAGGGTCTGCATGAACCTTCGGGACTCAGAGTCAGAATGCTTTCACAAGGCAAAGAGCTGCTTTAACTGCTACTGCTGTATTTTTCAGACCACAGCAAGAAAAGCTCTAGGGATTTCAAAAGCCCCAGGCTCGGCAGAGACTCCACAGTTTAATTTGTGAAGTGAGACAGCTGACAGATTACAAACTTAATTTTACTTCACAGGCACTAAAGCCATGAAACTAGTCCTGTGCCTCTTGAATCGGTGATGATTAATGAGTTTCAAGCCTTTTAAAAATACAAAGGGCAGTAGTTCAGAAAGTAAAGGCTTCACCTTGCATAGAAAAGAAACAAGACCTTGTTGCATGGTGATATGACTCAGATATTGTCCAGGCGTGCTACCCGAGCACTCAAGTACAGCTGGAATAAGGGTTACTGTGTTAAATGGGAATATAAGAATTTGAAACATTTCTCTTCCCAGCAATAGTTCACTGCTGTCATTTTAAAGGAAAGTGGACTCCCTGAGGCATCCTAGAGAGAACTTTTGCATCAGGTGTTGCCTGTGTGCATGAAAGTAAGTATCCCTTGGAGCACTGAGCTGAGTAATGTATCAAGGAATGACAAATAATCATTTGATATGCAGAGAAATAACTCCCAGGAATTTTTATCCAAAGCCAGCAGGGTTCTGGTTGGGACTGCAGGGCCAGGCAGTCTCCATTTTGACAGATACAGTGCATGTGTTCAGCGAGAAAAAGTGGCTTCAGGAGCACCAAGTCCTGGACCTGTGGCTCTCAGGAACATGAATCTGAGGGGAATTGAGTATACCCCAATTTAGGGATCCAAGCACTCTCTTTTCTCTCTTCTAGCACCACTAATCTGCTATTTTACTGAGCTAGTAAAGCAAAAGTTATTTCCTTCTTAGTCATCTTGAAATTAATTCATGTCAGTGGAGAGGCAAGAGAACATTCTCTGCATATACTCCAAAGCTGTATATTACATACAGACATTAGGATGTCTGTGGTTTCCAGTTAAGAGAAAAAAATGAAACGTCGAGAAATGGGCAGGGCAGCTGTGGACCTTTGCACACAACTGCAGAATGAAGAACTGAGTCCTGAGACGTGGCTGATCGCACCTAGCAACTGCTGAAAAACCAAAACAACTTTGCAATGATTTGTTGCATCAGACATCTTTCAATAAATCAAAAGAGATTTTTCTTGCTTAAAGCAGTTGTCTTCTTTTGTTGAGGTGGTGTTTGTTTAGTTCCACAGTTTTCATAAGCAGCTCTGTATCCAGCAGAAACAACATCTTGTAAAGCAATTTGCTGTCATTGCCCTCTCTCTTTCAGGTGGTCTCTGTGGGCAGACACACCCAGAGATGCGTCTAGCAGAGAGGGAATTACTGCCCTCCCACACCTCTCCAGCCCCACAGTGTACATGCTGGATGCTGGTGGACACCCCTTGGACTTCTGACTGTACAGGGATCTCCACACGCTCACTTCCAGTAAAGATTTCCTGTTGTGTAGGCACACATAAGGGCACCCAGATCGTTACATGTGTCTCTTGCTGATGAGACAGAAGAAACAAACTGGGGCAAATCAGTGAAAAAAAAAAAAACAAACTAAAGGTGGTGACCATCCTAATTTACATCTTCTCCTACTTTGTGAAATCTCAGGCTCCTTCTCACTAACCCTCAAGTGAGTAGAAAAGTAATTTCAGGAGTCCAACTCTACCTTAAATCATCAGCAAAAGGCAAGATTTGCACAGTATTTGCGTCTTATCTTTACTATAGGTCTATTTGAAGGAGTTACTCTGTACACTACCCTCCTGTAGGCAGGATTGCAAATAATTAGAGTTCGGTCTGAAACTCCATAGTATCAGACAAACCACAAAACTAATGCTATCATTTAAAAAAGGAATGAAAAATCAAAAAAAGACTGTAAACCATTTATTTTTTAGCAAATATCCTATACAACTGTGGCTTAACTACCATTAAACTGCTAACAAAGCAATAGCAAAGAGTCTGACAAAATATATTCCTAACAATCTTTCAAGTCCTGCATTACATTTGGAATGGTTTCAAATATAGAAAAAGGTCCAAACCTCTCCTATAATGAGCTTATTCAGTTTGCATCTTGTACAACTTTTACAGTTTATAACTGGATAAGTGTTGATGCATAAAGCTGTAATTCACCAGTGTTGGTCACAAATTATATTAAAATAAATAAGCAAATATACTGAGATGATACAAGCTGAGCATACAGAATTCATCCTAATTGCACTTGGTCAGAGGGGTTCAAGTAAACAGAGTCACACTATGAAATTTCTAGAAGAAAAGCAATCTAGAAGCAACACTCTCACTACCTTCTCTGAGCAATTTTCTCCTGGTATTAGCATTACTCTTATAAACCCATTGGCTGAATTTACAAAATAAGAAGCTTAAAGGTAAATAATAAAGCTAGTAGGTAAAAAAGTGGCTCTTCATCATCTAAGATATAATAAGCTGGATCTTCAGCTTTCAATTGTGTCACCAAAGCTGGGATTCTTCATAGTTAACCACTAGCTTAGTTGTCTGTTCCCTGCCTGTTCAATGCAGATTCAGCTTAACTAAGATACTAATTTTAGAAGGATCCACCTATCCAAGACTCCTGTTTCTATCCCATGTATAAAGACAGCTGTCTATTTTTCTTCCCCAGCAGGAAGGAAAGAATATAGAGGGCCATCTAAAACCAACCAGTGAATTTTCACATGGCTCAAATTATGTGTCATGGATTGAGTCAGGTCAGTGAAGATTTGTAGGTGTCTCTATCACAAGAGGAGTTACAGCTCTGTGTTTGCATTCTGTCCCGTTAGGGTACAATCAATGTCCCACAAAACCAACAGAACTGCTCTTGCTGTGTTTTGTCAGCACAAAAAAATCAAACCATCATGCTGGATACCTATAGCCAGCAGTCAAGTTGTCCAGCCAAGGATTTGAATTGTAATTTACATTAACTATGAGCATCCAGGTAGCGTTTGATCCATCCTCTTTAACTTCCCATATGCAAAAGGAAGGCTCGCGCTGTGCACACTGGCACACTAGTAAACATCAAAATAAGTTTGTGTATTTGAAGGCTGCTGGTCTCTCCAGTTACAAGATGAGGACTCGGTATATCACTTTGCTGACGTTAACGATCTCATCACAGTTTTCACGCGCCAAGCCCACTCTTGCAGGAGTCTTCACAGTGAAGTCAAGAAGAAAAGTATCTCCAAAAGCACTGAAGTTCTTGGTCTGCTTCTCCAACGCAGGGGTGATGTGGCGGTAGCCCCACAGGGGAGGCGGTGGGTGCACTGCTGCTCCCAGGTAATGCAGATGCACCGTGGTTCAGAGCTGGAGAGGGGACCGGGTGGCAGGCAGAGGAGCCAGAGCTTTAGCATCTTTGCTGCCCCATGTATCAGGCAGCCAATATTCCCAGAGAACGCCCAGGACAGCACAGAGCGGTCGTAACTGCTCTTTGGTTTGTGGTAGCAGGACACGTTTCTGGGAAGGAAAGAAAAACACCTGGTGTTGAAGTTTAGCTGGAGGAAATATTTGTTCTTAAGACCTCGGTGGAATAAGAACCACACACGTCATGTTTGTTTGAGAGATACACACACTGAGCCAGCAGCTCAGCAACTGAGCAGGGGGTAGAAATTACCCATTATCTTTTTAATTTGGAATGGACTTTAGCTTCAGTATTGTCGTTGTTTATTTTATGGCCCCGCATTAGAGGTGTTAGTATTACCACTCCCATGGAAAATGCTATGAATGAGGTAGCACCTCTCCAAGAAAAAAATCAGTCTTAAGATGAACTCTATGTGGGTGGGGAAAGGGAATAGAACCTGTTGTTTTTCTGATGTATGCTGAGAAACGCTTGGGAAATATCACCTAATTTTCAGGGCAGAAAGGGAGAACACTCAATGCCTGTCACTGATAGCCTGTTAACCTCTGTCCTTATAAAATAATATGCTACAAGGAGAAAATATGTAGTACTGAAGTGTAGCTCCCTTATAGCTCAAAGCATCAGGAATAAGTGATTTTAATGGATGATTCCGAACTTTCCCCCTACTATTATTGCACTGTAGGGAGCTGCCATCAGCAGTGACCTACTTGATGTCACGGCAGAAACACGTGTTCAGATGTTGGCCTAAATGCAGATGATTGTGGGTTGGTGCTCATCTATCCGCAGTGTGATATACTTAGCAAATAAATAACATCTGCCAGAGGGCTTCTCTTGCTTTGTGACTAGGTTTAGTTGGGTTCCCTTTCCTTATCTGTACAGTGTTGTGGGTACAGCCCTCACAGATGACAGGCACATGAGCACTGTTTACAGAGAAAGTATAGCTACCCTTAGTATCCTTAATACATACGTGAAATGTTGTTAGTGCTGGGCTGGGATAAACGTTTCCTTTGTAAGGGGCTGTCAACCATGAGCCCTCTGAAAATGTGCCAGGATAGAGAGAATCAAGAGATCTATTTTACAACACTGTGTTCATTTTCTACACTTTCTAGGGGGCTCTTGAGTCACATGTTCAAACTTCACCATGCAACCATGCAGAATTTTTCCTTTCCAAATGATGGATTTGCCAGGGGTGGTGGCAGTGAGGACTGAGCAAGTTGGTCTTGTGCTTCTTGGACCCAGAGCTTTACTAGGGACCAGCAACTATTATAAATTAACATTACAGGCATTAGCAACACTACTGATGAGAAGAGTCTTTCCTCAACGAACCTTGATGTGTTATTAAAGGCACCATTTTGAACATGAAAGGCTTAAACGTGGAGAAGGAAATGTTTCAGCTCATCCGGGAGAAGAAGTTCAGCTATTTTTTGATGCTGCTTGTGTCCAAAGCACCTCCTGATGCACAGGCGACACAACTGCATCAAGGACAGCGGCCCTGGAGAAAGAGCCAGGGAAGAGGTTACACATGTGGCTTTATTGCCCCAAAATTGTAAAGCTGAAATGGCAGCTGTGCATTACCACTCCCCCCAACTCCTGTGACCCACCTCGCACAGGGGGTGTGTGGGCACCCCAGGACACTCAGCAGTGAAAAGCCAGACCTGTGCGCACCAAAGGACATCAGCCAACCTGGGATTCAATTCAAGCTGAGTCACTCTCTGTCATTACACAGCCTCAATTAGCATTAGCAGCGTCAGTCTTTCCCTTTTAAGCTGCATGAGTGTGAAGTGGTTAGTGTTGTCTGAGAAGAAATGATCGACGATGTTGCCTTCAGAGTCCTTTGCCCCCCCAACTCCCACAGTGAGATCCAAGTTTACAGCCCACTGCTTTCCTGAGACGTACTTCATAATAGTGACAAACACATAGCAAAAGAAATACTATATAATCCCTTATTGAAACCTTCCAGATTAACCGGTCCCATGCTGATAAATACCAGCCCTGCTGAAGAATCTGTGGTGCTTTTTTTCATTTAAGTATAATGGCATTATACGCTTACTTGGGGCTTACTTATCCTTTTCACAAAGAGGTAGGTCCTGTGTGATGATTTTAACTGCGGCACCTTTCAATATTCAGCACCCCAACATTACATTTACACCCCAGTGTGCAGCACGCAGAGATGACAAGCGTGGTGGGTCACGGGGGGGCCGTGGGAGGGCAGATAAGAAGGGCAAAGCAGGGGCAGCAGTGAGTGTGGGTGTGGGGCTTGGGTGATGGCAATGGGGAGGAGATAAGAAGAGACACTGTAGAAAGCTAGAAGGAGGTAAGGGAGATAGGAGGGGATGGTTTGGGTGCCACCCGCCGTGCCTGCCTGCTGGGTGCATAAGTTAGCGGCCACCAGAGAGCTGAAATGTTAGTGCTGTTGGAGGAGTGAAGTGCAGTGGGAAGGAACAGGGGCTGCAGCACAAATGTGGTGAGGTGGCAGGTGAGGTGGCAGCTTTAATCAGCTTTTGAGTTTTCCCTCGTGCAGGCCACCATGTTTCCAGCAACTCTGCAAGGCTGAAAACTGCTGCACTCTTTGAAGGGCCATGCAAAGGGCTGCACCCTCCTGCTAGGAGTCAGTGGATGATTTACCCTATGTTTGTGTACAAGACAACAAGGCAAGCTGGTATGGGGCAAGTGAGACTGGCTATTGCAGTATCACACTGCATGTTTGTTTGGCCACTCTGATCCCACAGATAAATGCCCCGCCTCATTTAAAAAAGCTTCCATTCAAAAAAAAAAAAAAAAAAAAAAAAAACCACCTAAAAAAAAAAACCTCAAAAACTAAAGACTTATCAAAACACAAGCAGTGTCACTATGCTGAAAAATATTTAGCAACTGCAAGCTCTTAAAAGGAAAAGTGCATTTTTGGATCATTAGCTAATTTTCTCACCCACACGTAGGACTCTCCCTGCAACGCAAGTAGTGTTGAGCTGCTGCCCCCCAGCATCTGCAGTGTGGGGAGAGAGGAGCCATGTGTGGGAGTGGGGCAGGAGAGCAGCAGCTCAGCTGTGCCAGTGCTGAGGGGCCATGGGGCTGGCGGGGTGACTCCGATTCCCGCATCACGTTGCCAAACCTCCCCGTGAAACCAGAGGGGTAATGTTTGCACCGCTTCCCCCAGGTTGCAACCATTTAGCCAGCCAAAGTTAGACATCAACTGCCCATCAAGCATGACCCTACTCAGAGAAGAGCATGCTGGAGAACATCAGAAAAAAACTATTCAGCAGTAAAATGCCATTCAGGTGTTTATCGTTTCTGATTCCAATTGCTGAATTTCACTTAGAAAAGTTCCTTATTGCCCAAGGTGTTAGCTCAGCCTGAGCAGCGTTTCTTGGGCTGGCTCCACAGGGTGTGCCTGAAATGGTTTTCTATCTCAAATAAACAGGACACACGCAGTGCCATAGGAGTCAGCAGTCTAACACAGCAGGGATTGGAGCTCAAAAAGATCACCACTCTGTGCACCAGAGATTAGGCTGGGACACCACACAGCTGTTGCTCATACATAACATGCACAGCACAGTTGTTTTCAAGCTGTTATTTTCGTGTTCCTATTTCAAATAGGGCCTGATCCATCGTTTTATTATTCCGGTTTTACCTTGGTGTAAATCTGTTCATGACAACAATCACATCAACATGTTACTGGAATAATAAAGTCATGGACCACACCATCAGCAACTTGTTTAAAATAATGAAAATTATTTAGTAGTGTACATAGTCTTCTGACTGAATGAGAACATCTAAAGAAGAACACAAGTACACCAACAATCAGACACAAAAGACTGTATTCTAATTTTCCTGAAGATTCATAAGTAAGATTTCTCTCCGTAATTCATTAAAGTAGTCATAACCAAGAAAATAAAATAGATCTGGAAATATTTCACTTAAATGTACAAAATAAGCACTTCCTAAGGGTTAAGCCTACAGTTTGATACTGCTGGATTATTCAGCACATAATGCTGGCCTTTAAAAAAAGCCTAGTTTATAAATGTACATACATATATATATTCATTATATCATTCTTGTGCAATTTTTCTTAATCGCCACAAAAAACCCTAATATAGAGTCTAAAGAACCTAATACAGAGTCTTTCATGTTAAAGATAATTTTGCACCTGCATAAGATCTTGGCAAACAATAAAAGTAAAAGGCAAAGAACTAGAAGATCAGTGTTTCAATACAGGGGTTTTTTTTCAGTATCACATACATTAAACATTTTCTGGTTGCAATTTTGCATTGATGCTGAGACCAGTATCTGGCATGTACTTGCCCGCCAGCATACTGTATAACCAAAGATCTCAGTCCTAGAGCTCACCAGCTAGCCTCAACTCCCATCAGAGGTGATTTTCTGCCCGCATTTGTTGGCATGCTCCAGAAACACTCCTGGGTCTACTCCTGTCTCAGAAACAAGGGAACTGAGAGACTCCAACTGACTTCAGTGCTTTAGGTAATCAGAAAAAGCCACCATTAATACCTAAGGAGAATTTTGCTTGTTTTTTCATCCTAAACTCTATTTTGCATTATATTGCAAGCTCCATACGACTTCTCCCCGATGCAGTAGACTCACAGCCTGGAGGCTGAAAGATGGGTTATTGTTACCATTATCCTTATTAGTGTGCCACTATATTCTGACACTAGAAAACATAGTGTCCATATGTTAGCGAATGGAGGTATGCTTAGTTATCCTCAGTTTTGTAGAGTTTGTATCATGGAATAGCATAGCCTTTTGCAGCAGTTTGTGTGTTTTTTGCCTAACGAATCCCGAGTGAATAAATAAAACAAGCACTAAGGGGCACCTTCTTTCTGCAGGAAGAGTTGGCCCACAGGGCTGCCGGGTGGAACCAGCTCCATTGGCCTCTTGCTTTCGGCATTCTTCACCCAAATGTCTGCTCCAAAGTCAATCAGCAGTGTCACCAGCTCCACACTGCAATTCCTGGCGGCCACGTGCAGAGGGGAGTCCAGTCCTTTGCCGCTGTTCACATTTGCTCCTGAACACCAAGAGATGACAAAGAATAATGACAAAGAATAATGGCTATACAGTAGCCTATTTCCATTCCCTGCACTAGCTGCTATTTCTCTGAATAATCTGTAAATGCTGTAGCACCTACCCAGAGGTAGATTTCCTTATGCTGGGGCTTGGTACTATAATTTGCATGTACACAACTCAAACTGGTTGAGGAGGAGTGGGGTTGTGACTAAGAAAATACTCCCAGAGGAACAGTGCATGGGGAAGTCCTTCGTCCACAGCCCAGCCCATGGATATCTTGAAGCAGATAGATAGATGTAGTTCTATCTATAGCCCACCTTTGCTCCCCATCCCAGTGCCCCATTCCCTTAAAATACATGCAGGGTTTCAACCTGCTCTGTACCAGAGGCCTGTAGGATTTCCGAATGCCAAACTATCTATTGGGGAAAAAATGTGAGGATGGAAAAGTTCTAGATGCCCTTGGTAGATGAGGATATAAGCAAGCACCCCTGATGAATGTTTCCCCACCTGTTATCCTGAGCTAATGGCTCCTAAAACACCCTAAGAAGGGTGAGCTGCAGAACTAATTCAAAACTATTTATAATGTTTTTATATTACTCATTCTTATATATAGAAGGCAGCAAAAAACAAAATGGCAGAAAATAATAGCCGAACATTTACCATTAGATTAATTTGTATTTGAATTCTTCCAAAAAAAAAAAGATCACTGCACTAAATAGTGCATAAGGTGATCTACATGACGTTTGCTTGTTTTTTTCCAAAGCAGCTTTGTTGGTTGCTTGGTTTTGTACTAGCTCTGTGGCTACTTTAGGTTCTATGGCCCCTTTGGTTAGAAGACATGCACTACTGTAGATAATAAGAAATGGTCTTATATAATTATCCAAGTGCTTAGACTTACAGCTAGGTTTGTTTGATGCAAAGTACATAGTGCTGAACATTTTTCTGTGTTGGAAATGTTTCAAACTTTTTATGAACTCAGTGGGAATTAAAACATGTTTGCAGAAATACTGTGTAAAAATGATTGAGCCAATTTTTTCGGTAAAGAGGGAGGAAAAGAAAAAAAGGAAATTTTTTCCTGACCATTTCAGATAACTGCAGCATCACACACAGAGACACTGGAAAGGATGGTGTTTGTACCAGGCACGACCGGCCATGTGAAATCCAGGATCACTCATCATTTTGTTGGGAGCTGTAAAGCTGAGTTCCTGGGTCAATAAGACCTGGTTACCCTGCTACCCCATTTAACCTAGGGCTGCCATTAAGAGCGAAACATCTCCAGGTCCCAGAGCAGGAGTTCCTCTAAACCTTTGACGCAAAGAGAATCCAAAGACAGATGTTGTGGAAAATGGAAGTACACCATCCTTAAATTTTCTTTTTACCTGACTCAAGCAGCTTCTTGGCACAGCTCACTTGCTGGTTCTCACAAGCTACATAAAGTGGAGTACCCAGATGCTTGATGTTTTGATCTATGTTTACTCCACGGGACGCGAGGAATTCGACACATTGCACATGACCTTAAAAGGGATAAAGGAAGAGTCAACTCACAGAGATCAGGCATTTTTTCAGCAAATTCTCTATTGCAGCAGTGTAATTTGGCAAAGATTCAATGTTTTGTCGAGAGATTGTAGTGTAATACTTTCACCCACTCCAGTGTTTCCAACCTCGAAAACAGGAGCTGCAAATCCACTGTTAGCAAAACAGGCTAAAGCCCTTGCATTTTATCTGACTTATTTCAGATGTCTACTGAAGATGAGATGAATCACGCTGTGTTTCTCTGCACTGCTTTTGAAGATAGACAGACGTCTCTCTCAGAAGTCCACATGGTAGGCAACTGACTTGGACAATGCAACCCCTTCCAGGTGTCACCACATGAACTCAGAGGCCCTGAGAGTGCAGCCGAGCTGCCCTCAGTGAGCATCAGGGGTGGGAGGAACTACACCACTCGTGATGAGACCAGCTAGGAAGGTATTTCACATGACCCAAATCAAGAAAATTATCTTCTTTATCTCTCTTTTTCCACTTCAGCACGTTGCTAGTAACATGAAAGGGGTACTGATACCCACGTGGTTACCTCTCTTAGCAGCTTCGTGGATGGGGGATGCCAAGTCACAGGGTGGGTGTAGGCTGGCTCCATGCTCCAGCAATAAATTCAAGCAAGCCACACTGCCACTGACACAAGCGCTGAACAATGGAGTGTGCCAGTCGACAGTAACTCCATTCACCTGGGGGGAAAAAAAACACAATCAGACTTTTTGTTCATCTTCTCAGTATTTCAAAATAGATTAAAATTATCCAGTTTCTCAACAGAAGAGTAAGGTTCTCAATACTTTTTATTTAATTCCTTGCAAAACTTCCTATTGCTTCTGAGGTTTACAAGTTTTTGATAAAAATATCCTTAAAAAAATCTTTTAAAAAATTGCCCCCAAGTCTCTTCTCCTGCAAATGAATGTCTAGTCAGTGCTGCTCTGGGGTTGCTCTCAGTTATCTCAGCTGAAACACACCTGCCCATTGCCCTGTCCTGAAACGGTCCATTTTTAGCTGAAAGTGGGCAGCCTCTGTTTTTTAAAAAAACTGAAAGGTAATATACGTATAACAAGTTAATTTGCTTTTTCACTATAATTTCGACATTAGCTTGAAAATCAGAGGCCATGAGACATGCCCATTTCACCATTGTACTTCCACCTTGTTTCCATTTTCTTCCCATTTTATCGTCAGTTGATCCTAACAGTTCTACACCTCTCCTTAAGACTGTGCATATTGACACCAATGGGATTAGTGTGTGCAGAAAATAAAATGCACCCTTTATTGTTACAGGATTATAAACCCTTTGCAAGAGGAACTTCCCCTTATTCTTTCAGTAAATTATGAGAACACTGCACCTTCATCTAAAGAACAATAGTAACTGTTGGTTATATCTGTGCTTTTTGGATTGCTTTATCAAGAAGTGCATCTTATAACATATGTGCTTTAAGCAGAGCTAAGTACAGAGTGTAAATCACAGTGATACACTGTCATGAAATAGTACATCACCTAGCATTAAAAAGTGATAATACAACATACTAACACTGAAGACAATGGTCTGTCCATCAGGCACTCACCTGAGCACCGTGTTTTAATAGGACACTGGCACAAGCAGCATGACCCCCTAGGCAGGCTTCATGGAGAGGAGACACCTGGTCTGCTGTAACAAGATTCACATCACTCCCCTGATGAATTAATAGAAAATGTCATCACAACCAACTACCAAAAGCCCATACAAACAAAAAACCCCCAAGCCTTTCTATAATGACCTTTAAAGCTTCATGCAATGACACCTTCCTCAACTGCCTGGAGGTGCTCATCTCAATAGGTAAGCAGAGAAAGAGGCTGCAGTGCTTTGGCTGGAGTGGATATTGGCACAGTGTACCAGAGGTCATGCCTTCTACACACTGCTAATCGGTGCAGAAAGCTCTGGGCAGTAGACTGAATGATGGAACAATACAGACATCCTTTTAGGAACTCAGCATGATTTTATTTCTAGTACACCATGAATAACAAACTCTGAAATAAAAAAAAAAAAAAAATTAAAAATTGCTAGTAGAGTTCTTGGCAGGGTCATGACTGCTGCCTTTTTGCATCACCGTTCAAGCATTCTGACCTCCTGTCTGCCGAGTCTGTGGTTGTTTGACTGGATCAAATCCTGAAATGTTTTTGAGGTGTTTTCTGGTCTTTGGTCAGAGTGTGTCATGTTCTGAAGGAAAGCCAACCCCTGCATTAGAAACCACTGATTTGATTCTACAGGATCTTTTGTTTCAGGCAATCTTGGTGCTCCAGAATGTTAAGCTGGAAGAGTCTTCAACTTTCCAAGAATTTTGAGGAAATGGAGCAGTGAGGTTCAGAAATCGCTTCTCCCTAGCCGTGCCCTTCTGCAGTGGGAGCAGGGGCCCCAGATACCCTCAGGCACTTCAGGAACAGATGTGTGGGTGGCTGAATTGAAGCCTGAACCGCAGCCTTGCCTGGGTCCAGAGCTGTCCTCAACCTGGGGCACCAAACACTGCTCGCAGGTGCAGGAGCTGCAGAAGGAATCCCCGAGCCACCCAGAGATCCCAGCGACCAGAGTCCCATTACCTACACCAGCATTAAAGAATGACCCAGGATATTTTGATACATTGTCAGCTTAGTGCACAGAGTTTGCGCTAGGCAAGGAACTGCTTGTAGAAAAAAAAAAAAAATCTGTTACATGCAGATTTCATTGCATTCTAGACAACATGATTTTCTCACCCTGGAGGTTTCACAGTAAAGCATAAACTGCATTCAACAACTGAACAAATCCAGCAGAAGGGTACCTGTTTGATGAGTTTCTTCAGAGTAAGCAGACTCCCACGGATAGAGGCATCATGTAAAGGAGACCAGTCTGAAACAAAGTCTGTATAAAGAGAAAGACAGGAAAAAGGCTAACAACTCCATGGACTGTTTCATCAGTGTACTTTACTTCAACTGCGTGACCCTGGCAAACCTTTCTTCTTCTAATTTATCACTTGAGCTGCCAAGCTTTCCTTGGAGCAGCTGCCGGGAGGGAGTGAGACAAGAGGATGGCTTCAATCTGGGTGTGTTTTTAACTCACCCCATGTTGGTGCTGGCTGCGCTCCCCTTCAGAAGATGAGAGGGATTTGCAGAACATTACCTTGCTCTGTCTGAGCTTGTCTCTCGCTTTGAATTATTTCTAGTGCCTTTGTTTTCACAAGCTCATTACACTTTACCAATTAGCTCAGAAGGACTACATTTTGAAAAGGGTATGGCTTCTCAGTCATTTACCCCTGCTCAGAGCTGAGCTAGAGTCAACAATACCTAACGAGAGAAAGTACCAAAGTACAAGGAGACAAATTGTGTTACCTGTTGATTGTGCTCCTCAGTTTTCAGTGTTTGGTGTCAGCCTGTGCAGTGGTGCATTTTAAGTAATAGCTGCATTGCTATTGCTAGTATTGATAATTTCTGCATTGTACAAACCATGAAGTGAGACACAGCACATATGGAGGGAAGCTGAAAGGAAGGGTCTGCCTCAGCTTGTAGGGACAGCCAAGGGGACAGGATGGGACACAAGCTGCATGGCAGTGAGGACACAGGTCCAGCCTGTGAGGGCAGAAGTAGGTCATAAAGAAACTGTTCCTACTGCCATGATAAATGCACTGATACTTTAAGTGCCCATATAAAGCAAACATATTCATATTTGCTCTTGTAAGGTCTTATGTGAAAGACTGACTACAGGTCACCTTGCCAGACAACTGAGGAGGCATGAAAGGTCCGTGTCAGAAACTGAATTTTAACTAGTGTTCTCAAGTAATCTTGGTATATAATGCTTGATGTTCAGAAAAATACCACATGCCAAAAATAATTACTGGAAATGAGTCAGCATAGCTGCGGTTGGATCAAGGAGGTATGGAAGGGAATCCTTAGGGTTAAATTTGGTACTAATCCATCAAGTCACGTAGAGTGCTTTTCTGAAAGACCGTTTTGCCAGGCACAAGCATTATTTGATGCATTTTACAAGGCATGCATATCTTTCATCAATTACACTGAGTAACATAAAGGTCTGAGGAAATACTGCTAATGACTTATGTTTCACTTCTCTAGTGGCTGTATTTGTTCTTTATTTTAATATAGTGAAACAAACTAGCTTAGTGCTGAGGACCATACAAATATTAATAGAAGAAGATCTTCAGTATTACAGATTTTATGGCTCAGGGCCATCTGACAGCAACAATCCCTCTGGGAGACATTTGCCTCCTTCAGTATTCATTGCCTCAAAACTTGGTGTCTGGTCTATGTTAACGGTCCAGGTTCCCCCAGGGAAGGAAAAGAAGCATTTCCAGAGTGCATTTCACCCAGCTTCTTTTGGAAACACATTTTTCTGCTCTCTGGAGAATTCCCACTCTCCTTCCACTAACTACAGACAAAACCCCAATGACCAACCTGGACGAGTTGCTGAGGTTTTCAATGACTAGACTAGATCATATGCATGGAATAGGTTGCTTAACGTCAAGAGGTCCGCCTTCAGCAACAAAACCTAATAAGCCACAGTAATTCTTTAAAATAACTTTCACAGATTAGATGATGATGTCAGTGCTTATGCGAGATCTGCAGATCCTGCCTTGTCTCAGGTATGAACATGCATGTGAGAGCTCAACCTCTCATGGCTGATATCCTGCCTCTTCTGGCTATGCCACAATGTGCTGGGACAGGGTGATAACCAACTGTGTCAGCCATCACTCAGCTTGTTGGGTTATTGCTGTCTCACTTTCAAGTGTACTCAGTAAAGGACATTAAATTTAAAGAAGATAAGATCCAGTATAGCAAGACTTACAACGTTTTTGTGATTGAAAAATTCTCCACTAAGTAAATCATGACCTGAAGATGGTGGTATCTGAAATGTGTTGTGTCTATCACACACAGAAGATCTTTGCCTGCAGTTATGTTAAGCGTGTGGGGGGATTTTTTGTGGGCATAGTGGCCACAAAAGGCCTGCTATAGATTTAGTCATTCTTGCAAGACTCTTTTTTGACTGCAATACATTTGTCTAGAGTTGTTCATGTAGGCAAAAGGATATTTCTGCTACTACCATATACCATTTTTGAGCCACTCGATGTCCATCACAATGCTTATCTGCATAGCACACTTTTGCAAATATGTACGTATTGCATCTTACTGTCTCTGAACAAAGGCTCATTGATGGACTAAACTAGGGTAAATTTTAGTGTTTCCTTTCTTGGACACAAAAAATGTGGGTCTCTGTAACAAGTAGGTAATCAAATTGGTAGTAGTCACATGCACATTACAAGAGGGAACCTGACTGTTCCCTGTGATAGTTCTTATTTGAATGAAGTAATTAAAAAAAAAAAAACAATCGAGCAGAATAATCAAGACTTCACCTTCTCTTCTGAGGATCCTTCCCTAACAGTGCTCAGGCATGCTCCTGGCTCACAGGACAATCCCAGTGACATCCTGGAAATAACCTCAAGGTGAGTTTGGAGCATGAAGGGGGTGAGCTGTGGGCGGTAGAAGGCCCTTAGGAACAGGGGTCTCATCAGGGATGATTGGACAAGCAGCTGATTCATGATTTTCACCATTTCTCCTCATTTTTCTGTCTCTGGTTATGACTGCTACCTAGTTAGGGGAAGGGAAAGGGGAAGGGCTTGTACAAAATACTAGATCATTCATTGGTTTATGCTAGGTTTATATTTACCTGATCTGAGCTATCACTGGGCATCCCTTGGGGCCAGAAAGGAGATTTGTTTTGTGTCTGCTGGAGACTGACCATGACTGGAGACAGGATACGGATCTGGTGACTGGAATTACCTGGTCAGTATATCCTGCTCATGGGTACCATTACAATGGGTACCATTAAAGTGACTATCAGCTTTGAGTTCTGAAGGAGAGATGCCAAGGAGAGCAGGCTGGGAGGGACCATCAGCCCCGAGGCTGTGCCTCCTCTGAGCATGGGGCATAGTCTTCTTCCTGCACTCTTCCAGGGGGGAAGCTTGGTGGCTTCTCCTGCTCTTGGCATGTATTTGTATAGCTGTGGTTTGGGGTATTTTCCTTCACATCATAAGTGTGTTGCCAGGGAACTGGGAAGGTGTTTGGTGATCTGTTGACCATGGCCTACAGACTAGGTGTTTGGTGGACACTTTGAAACCTCCCATCTATTCCACTGCTGCCTGTGACTATGAGACACTGTCAGAGACCGTGCAGGCTTGGTAGGTAAATCTGCACTGCCAAGTAAAGAAAGCCAGGAGGATAATTCAGCATTGAGCTTTAAGCAGGTGAAGATGCAAAGGCAAGTCAGTCTGCACCAGTTGGTCTCAAAGACAGAAATGGTCCCAATCTCTTTTATTTAGCAGTATAGAAATAGCTCAAAAGACTAGATTCTGTGAGTCAGGCGATCTTTTCAAGTCTTGTATTACTTTCAGTATGAAAGTCAAAGGGAAAAAAAAGAGAAACTGAGAAGCAACTCAGGCTTCACATGCACAGAAAGATTCATCAACTCAGATGTGTTTCATATTTGGAAGAAGCCTCAAAATTAGAAGACCAAAGGATGGAAGAGACATAACCCCAATACAGCCTTATGGGCAGTATCGAGTGCATGAAATGAACAGAGGAATGATCTCAGGAAATCTGGGTAATGTATGTCAATCAGTTTTTAAAGAAAATTGTATTCTTCATTATTGGCATCATTTGAGCTCTGCCTGCCTCCTTCTATGTTCCATGGGCCATGTCCCACAACAAACATGTAGTTCCAGTAAGTTCACAAATACCCATTTAGATCCTTTTTTGCCTTTAGGAAATCAACAGCCATTTCCAGAATCTGTGGTTCTGGTCTCATAAGGATAGCCAAACTATGCTAAAATTATTAAAGCATGGTATTATTAATTGACTAAAATAGCTTTGCTTTAAAAGTGATGTGTGTCAAATGATGTTTATCTGACCATGCTGTTGTTCTTGCTGATCATGCCTGTGTTACCATTGGCTGTGTATCTAGGCTCTGTAAAAAGCTTTTGATTTTCCCATTTAGAAACCAATGCCATTGCCCAATCTGCATGATTTGCAAGGGAAGTTTACAGTAATTCTAAAAATCTAGATTAAGGAACAAATTTTGTGAGCTACAGCTTGATCTTTTTTTGGCCACACAAATACAGGCGGGGTTTTGTGCAAACTACCAAGTTGTTATATCAACGGGTGAGCACTCTCGTGACAAAGAGGGAGGTGCATGTTCATGCCATCACATCCATGTGCAGAATTTATCCATTTAGTACTTGCTTGAGAAAACACAGGTTTCTACTGAGACTCTGAAAAAGAGCCAGACCAGACCGTAGTTATCTATGGACTGGCCATTAGCTTGCAATTTTACCAAGCCTTAACAACAAATTAAAAGATTGACCACATAAGCATCAAAATGTGAGTGGAAAATAAAAAGAGGTATGTGCCAACACATTGTAATCCAGCTGGGAATTCTGTACTGAGAAGAACCAAGGCTTTTATTCTAAATGGAAGTGGAGGCCTACGATAGCTTCACGCGAGCCTTGGATAAATTGGGAAGAGGGGGTTTAAAGGCCTGTCTGATGACTAATTCATAGAATCATCACAGAATCACAGAATGCTTTGGGTTGGAAGGGACCTTTAGAGGCCATCCAGCCCAACTCCCCTGCAGGGAGCAGGGACAGCTTTAACCAGATCAGGGTGCTCAGAGCCCCGTCCAACCTGACCCTGAATGTTGCCAGGGATGGGGCCTCCACTGCCTCTCTGGGCAACCTGTTCCAGTGCTTCACCACCCTCATTGTAAAAAATTTCTTTCTTATGTCTAGTCTAAATCTATTCTTCTTTAGTTTAAATCCATTATTCCTTGTCCTGTCACAACAGGCCTTGCTAAAAAGATTCTCCCCATATTTCCTGTAGGCCCCCTTTAATTGCTGTGATGTACTTCCGAACCTTCCACCACGAACAGCACAGCCCTAAGCCACCATCTCTCCTGCCCCAGCTCCATTTGCAGCAAACACCTCCGCCCTGAAGCAATGCCGGGGAGGCAGCCTCCTGCAGGGGAAGGCAAATTTCCCCAGTTTCCACACCCAGGGCATCACCCTCCAGAAAACCACAAAGTTTCCATTTTCTGCCTGCTCCAGGCCGGAGATCCTGTTTCTCGCCTGGGGGAGGAGGGAGGCTGGAGTGGATATTGGGGTCTCACTCAGTCCTGCACAGCACAGGAGGCATGCTGTCAGTAATATAAATGATCAGCATTTATACCATACACAGGCTTTTGATTAAAGCCTAAGCAAATGCCCGTGCTAACTGGCCACGGACTTTTAAAATCCTGAAACAGTGACTTTCAGGAAAGTCCTCAAAACACTTTGCCCATCAGAGATGCCCGTGAAGGAGCAAGGCCAGTGTACACAGGTGGCACAGCTGTGTTCACTGCATGTACCACCAGAGCAACAAGGACTTCTGATTGCCAAAAATATGTACAACTGCTCTCTCACAGAGGAATGAGACTGTTTATCCAAATCTGGAATTTACCCACACCTTCATCAACAGGCAAGCTGAGTCAGGCCTCAGGACCTGCAGGAGCTAGACATCCAAAAGCCCACTGGCTTTCAGTGGCATTGGATCACCTAGCTCCCCTTTCACTGCTGAAAATCCCAGCCAGCCCAGAGGTTACATTAAACCTCATATTTGATTGCACTGCCATCACTTGGGCATGTGAACACTGACAAGGTGTATACAGAGGGAGCTTTATAGCAATAACCACACAAACACACAAACCCTGACTGCTCCCTGTGGACAATGGAGCATTCACAGGAAAGAGCACTCGTTCTTGAGGTGATGGCTGAAAGTACTTTTTTCCAGCCTCTGACTGTGTGGAGGGTGTTGCACACTTCGGGCCTGTCCCCAGGCTGGTTTCCTTCTGTGGTGGTCACACATGGTGCAACTCACAAGGGGCTTTCAAATCCTTTCAGCAGAGGTATGCTCTTACATACACATTTGCATATGCATATGCTTATGGCACTATATATAACAGTGTTACAAATGGTATTTTTCTTATTCATATACGTTCCTGCTGTATATTGCCAGCAGAGCTTATTGACTCTGCTAAGGAGCAAGCAGACACAAGAGGAATGGACTGAACTCTGATTTTCAAAGGACCAAATGATCTGTGCACAGCAGTGCAGCATGTGGGCTCTCTTCCTTCCAGCCTGTATTTTGCTGGAGCTCACCTCCAGTGTGGACCTGTTTCAGTTCATACTGTTAATAATATCGCCGTCCCTTCCCTCCTGCACCAGCCCCAGGATGTACATACGTGACACACATAAGGAGAGGCAGAAAACACAGCAGGTATACTGATCTTCTAGTTTTAGGGCCTTATTTTCCTATTTGGTATGAATGGAAGTGTCCTGAACAGCCCAGGAAAGGAACAAGGACAGTGTAAAGTCACATTATCTTAATTTACCTCATTCCCTCTGCACTCATCTTGAGCTGAGGGAGTAGCTTCTCAGAAAACAGAGCTACAGGGAACGCGTCTAGCTAAACTGTTATGTGATATTAAATTACTTGTCTTTTGTCACCATGTCATATTTTCAATGGCTCTGGGTCAGACAACAGAGCAATGATCAGAATGAGGCCATTTGTCTGAATAACTGTTCACTGGTGACCACAACACCATTGGTTACAACTGACCACAATGCCCTGGCCATTGCAGAAGAACCTGACAGGCCTGAAAGCTCAGATTGGGCAACAACACTTGGGTCTTCTCATCTGAAAGAAAGAAAAAGGAAAAGGAAAAGGAAAAGGAAAAGGAAAAGGAAAAGAAAAAGAAAAAGGAAAAGGAAAAGGAAAAGGAAAAGGAAAAGGAAAAGGAAAAGGAAAAGGAAAAGAAAAAGAAAAAGAAAAAGAAAAAGAAAAAGAAAAAGAAAAAGAAAAAGAAAAAGAAAAAGAAAAAGAAAAAGAAAAAGAAAAAGAAAAAGAAAAAGAAAAAGAAAAAGAAAAAGAAAAAGAAAAAGAAAAAGAAAAAGAAAAAGAAAAAGAAAAAGAAAAAGAAAAAGAAAAAGAAAAAGAAAAAGAAAAAGAAAAAGAAAAAGAAAAAGAAAAAGAAAAAGAAAAAGAAAAAGAAAAAGAAAAAAAGAAGAAATGAGAAAGGAAAGGAAGAAAGGAACAAGGAAGGGAAGGAGGAAGGGAAGGAAAAAAAAGAAAAAGAAAAGAGGAACTGAGCCAGTGCTGAGCCTCCATCTGGCACTAATCTAAGTCAAACATGCCACATTGCAACTTCTTTTTCAGTGTGCTGTGGTTCAAGTGCTGCATTTGTTTCCACTCATACAAACTGTAAAGAATCACTCTTTTCTGCGATGCACCAAAAAACATCCAAAAATTCAGTATCGAATAGGAATAGCTTATTAAAACTCCTTCTGAAGTGCAAGGGCATGGGGACGTTCTGTGGGACTGACTGTGGACCTGCACTGGAAGCAGGACACCAGGATGAGCATGCCACCGTATCCTGAGCCTGCCCTTTGCTGCTGCTGGCAGAGGCAGAGGCTTGCGGCGAGGCAGGAGTGTTACTTACCCCTCATCAGTGGGTTTGATAGAGACATTGCAGATGCTTGGCCTCCGGCTCCTTGCGATTTGCTGGAGTTTTGATTTGTTCCCTCATCATCCATCTCGGCCCTGTCTGTCCAAGTTCTGGTTTTTCACTTCACGGTTGGTCTCGAGAGTTCAAATTCCATCGTCCCCGGCGAGCCCCCGGCAACGGGAGTAATTTATTAAGCAGACTCTGAGTGCACAAGTCGAACAGACCTTGCAGCAGACTGGGACGTGGTGCCGGCAGCACTTTGTGCAGAAACCCGAGTACCTGGGTTGGGATTTAACAAAACAGCTCCCTGACTGCCCTGGGAGGCAGCCAGCGATCCAGCAAAGCGAGAGATGTGCCTGATGTCACATCCTCTCCAACACAGCGCCCAATCGGGGTGCCCGCCGTCCGTTTTTATCAGGAAGGAAATTCTTAGTTTGCCAAAAAAACAAGACAGAAAGAGCCAGTTCAACTAGTTGAGCAAACTCTGCCTGCAGGGGATTTGCAAAGAAAACCCGCAGAGATACGAGCGCGCGCGGATCTGCACCACTCCCAAGCAAGTTGTTTGCAGGCAACTTTGCCGCGTGCCTCCCTGGACACTGTACGCTGTGCAAAACCACCCCTCTTATCTGCCAAGCCCTGACGGTATGCAAGAAACAGAGAGCCGAACGCCTGCTGTGCAGCAGTGGTCGCCACATACCCTACAGATATTGAAACCACATGGCTGGGGAGCTGCGCTTCCCACTGGAGGCCCTGCATTGTCTCCGTGGTGTGGAAATCACAGTGCTGCATGGGCTTATTTCCTTCCCCCCCAATTTCAATCGATTTCACTGAGTCACAGTCACACCAGGGGTTTCGTATCTGACCAGTGCCCTTTTATTTTTAAGCAATTTCTCGATCTAAAACATCACAAACCTACCAGTGAATAAATGGCGACGTTTTTTCAGGAGGACCTCCACGTCATTTCTCTGGGTCTGTTTGCAAAAATTCTGTTCTCACAGATCATCTCCGTTTGCACTTTTTTCTTTCCCAAACTAGTATAATTTACAAGCGCAAAATCCTTTTATGTCCCTGAATATTTGCTCATTTGTGTACAAGTGCAAGTGGGCAGAACTTCCATCTAAACTGTGTAAATAAAAATTAAGTTGGGTTTTTTTCCAATTTGTTTACTAGAGCAGAATTTGCGTTTGTGTATTTGGAGATACAAAGTTGCTAAGCCTGGGCTAATTCTGATCCTAACTCGGCTGAGCCTAAGCAACTGGGTTTCATCTTTATTCCTATTTATAACAATGCAAGAGATCTAGAATCATATTTAGGGTTTCTTTGTCCACATCTTTAAAAAAATCCGTTATGTTAAAAGATACAAACAGCAGTTGAACGTCATCCACAAACCCTGCCAGCAGGGAACCTGTGAAGGCAACCTGGGCACACGCCGGTGCACAACTGCTGATGAAATATGGATGAGGACACGGCCTGCCCCTTCCAGGGCTCTCCCTGCTGAATGCCCTCCTGCCTCCTGGGGTTGGCTCCCCATGCTGGATGCAAGCTGAGCCTTTGGTCTGGCTGGAAATTACATTTGTGTCTTAGCCATTGAAATTTCAGCATTTAAAAAGTTGTGGGAAAAAATATGTAAATGGAGAAAGTGGTATAAATATTGGTTTTGATGATTAACATGTAAAATGAGGAATGGAAAAACAATTTTTCCCCTTTAGTATTTCTTGACTTTAGGGGCTAGGTTGCCACAGCTTATGTATAATCATATCTTTAGCAGCATTATTAAACATGCCAGCAATTCCACCACTAAAAGGAATCAGCTTATGCATCCAAATATGCAATGATGGGGTTTCTAAGCGAAGAAGCATTAGCTAAGAGCTTTAAATTCAACCATAGCAAGAAGCAGCCTACAAGACAGAAGTCACTTAGTCCCTAGTGACCCATGGACAAGGAGTCTTTGGCCATTTGGTCCTTTGACCAAGAGACCTGCTGACTGACAGGACAATCGTTTGAATAGTCTCGTATTTGTTGCACATATTTTGATCATGTTGCGCTACATAAACCTCTGCCTTGACAGATAAGCTGCAGCCTGGTCTTCCTGGAGGCTGATAAAGTCACACAGGGCACCTAACGGGAACAATGAGCCTGCAGCCCTTGCCATGGGGGCGGATATCCCTGCCCTCCATCACCCTTTCTGAAAGGGGGACCTCTGAGATGCCCGCAGGAGGTTGGTAGCCCACAGGCATACTTTATCCTGGGTTGTTGGTGTCCTGGTCCACATGTAGTTGTATCTCATGGAGTAAACAGGCATAGGGTTCACAAAAGGAGTTTCTGGTTTGGTCACACTTGTCTTCTGACAGCACCAGAGAGGCAAAGACCTGGGTGAAACTACAAGTGCAGGATCCAGTTGCCACATCCATTCCTCAGAACTGGGGCTCCTTTCAAGGCTACAGGACTATACTGTGTAATCGCAGTCTTTGGGCATGATTACTCCTTTGGATCATGGTATATTCCCAAATAACTAGACAACTGTCCCCTGGGCTGGTCTTGCAGTCTCTGCTTAGTCAGAGCATGTTCAGTTCTTGTGATGATTCCCCTGTCTTTGTTCCAGCCTGGAAATGTCTTACATTACAAAACCCTGCCTGTCTGCTAACAAATTGGAGAAAAATGACCCTTACCTGGGATGTAGCTGTCCCACTTCTTGGTGCAAGCAGAATTTCTTCAGGCATTAATAGTCTTAGCAACAATTCTACCCAAAATTAGGCACTCACCTGGCTCTGGCTCTTTTTGGTAAGAGTATGAGGTAAGAAGACAGCACAGCTAATAACTTCAAATCTACAAAAAGTTCATAAGATTAAAAAAATTACACTCAAAGTCTTAGAACAAGTATGCTGCTTTATTTCAAAATGTACTTTATCCTGTCTTTGTATCCTAAAGGCCCTACAGACATAGACCATGTTGAGCCTTTAGGTGGGAAATTCAGGGAGTCAGTAAGTGATGAGACAAAATTATTACTTCAATGCACACAGTGGGGGAAAGCCACCATTTGCAAGAAATGCTGCACTCCCTGGAATATCATGGTTTGATCTCCCCCGAGACGTACCTGACTCATCTGCATCACTATCTTGCACAGAAACCTTTGCAGGGTTAGGACAGTGCAGGGGGAGCCCATCACAGGTCCCTTCATCCCTTAGGATCTAGGTGGGGCAGGGAGCTCTGCACAAGTCAGGGATTCATTTCATACTGTGTATATATATATGTGTGTGTGTGTGTGTGTGCGCGTAAATAGCAGGTTCCTGGGTCTCCCCACCTTTTGCATTTGTCCTGTGTGGTGTCCAGCACACGCACACCTTCTCCTCAATAAATTATTTTCTGTTTGGCTAGATTTCACCTTTCAGCAATTTTCTGTGTCACATGCATTAGCAAGGTTGGTACTTTTCACAGTTTTAAGGAGTCTAGTTTTAAATTCTGCTAACTGAGTTTGTAGTAGAGGCACAACGAGTAAAAAGGCTAAATTAGTGACACAGAGAACAGAGTGAAAAAGAAACACTGTTTTTCTTCCCAATTGCACAATTGCATTCTTTTCTTTTTGCTGCAATTTTCCCCATGACAGTATGGGCAGCCAGGATATCAGCATGTGAGGTTCCTAAAACTTCCATTATAGGACACATACCATTATGTCCCAAGATTAGTGTCTTATTCGTTATACATACATTGGCAACAAAGCGTGAGTCCCTGGAGCAGGGAACTCTAGGGAGCTTCAGAGGGAATGTTCAAGCCCTGAAATATTGCTTTAGTGTGAGCCCAAGCTCTCCTTCGCCTCATTTGCAAGTGTGGGGCATGTTCAGAGCTGAGAGCATAGTCACCTTCTCTGCTGACCAAGAATTGTGCTCCTCTGAGTTAAACTGTAGATGCCCTTACGCTGATATGCAGCCAGGTTACAACAGAGAGTAGCTAGAAAACGCGTAGGTCAAGAGTTTGATGGACATCAATTGTCTCTTGAGCTCTTGCTTCAGCTAGTAGCTCAGACATACCTACAGAGGCAGTGAGCTGGCCTTGGCCTGGTGTGACAAACAGTATTATTTACCATAATATTATTTTACCATCTAGAGCCACTTGCTTCATAAGCACCATTTTGATATGAATGGCATCATCAAGCTAAATGAAACTCCCCCAGATAAAACATTCCGAAGTCAGGGGATACCTGTAGGGTTATACAGCCTTGCTGGGTGCCAAGAATACATAAGAAAGCTTTGATTCATTTAGCCTCCTTAGTTGCAAATCTTTTTTGGAAGCTAGCAGAAAATTCTGCAGCAAGAAAGGAACAAGTTTTAACATCAACCTGGATCTCAAGATAAACAGCACACAACTTCAAATATAGATCAGAAACAGCTTACACAACACAGAGACACACCAGAGCTTTTAGTCATTACAATACTATTTTCCATTTAAATAGGACTTACATCCTTAAGTTCTACATAAACAGAGATAGCTACAGAAATCACTTCATCGTTATTCAAACGCAACCATCCTCGGTGGATAAAAGTGCACAGTAAAGTTGAACCTATGACACTCTAATACCACTTTTTCTGTTTACAGCATATCTTATAAACAGAATCACTTTTTTTTTCTCCTTCAAAATTTTATATTTTATAAGTAATTCAATGAAATATTCTACTGTCTTGATTTTTTGTCCCACTTGCTAATCAGTTTTTAAATTGTGCATATCAATTATTCTTCACAGAAAATACTTCATTATTATTTACTGGTTTGGACAAGTATAACACTTTGTTTATTATTATTAGCACAAATATTGCTACAAACAGTGAAAATGCACTGCTGGTAAATCTGTCGTGGCATGCAAATTTAGCATTTGTTTCTGAGGATGCAAACCACAGAATTATAGAAAATGTTTGGAAAATTGGACACAGAACATGGGATTTGTTCAATTTAACTTCAGAATCCAAGCCAGAAATCCTAGCTTTCTTTTAGACCTAATGAAGAAAAATAGGTATTTTAAGACCATGATTCATGTGACCCATTTTGGATATCTGCTCTGAGAGGACATGAACTGTGCCTTTAGAGTCAACCTTCATG